TTTTTTAAAGGTTTTATTTTTAAGTAATCTCTACTTCATCGTGGGCTCTACTTCAACCTGGGGCTCAAACTTACACCTGGAGATCAAGAGTCCCATGCTCTGCTGACTGAGCCAGCCAGGTGCCACAATGCTTGCTTTCATTTGAAATGTATGTTTGTAGTTTGTAGTTTGTTTGTAGTAGGAAGTTACCTCATTTTTATTTTGTGGCTTTGTGTACCCTCCTGCCATTGTTGTTATTTTCAGAGGTTGGAGAACCTTGTTTTGAGAAGGAGGAGTGTAATGGATTTAAATTTATTTTTGGGGCGCCTGGGCGGTTCACTTGGTTTAGCCTCTGACTCTTGATCTCAGCTCAGGTGTTGATATCCGGGTTGTGAGTTCAAGCCCTGTGTTGGGCTCTACACTGGGCATAGAGCCTACTTAAAAAAAATTTTTTCGGGGCGCCTGGGTGGCGCAGTCGGTTAAGCGTCCGACTTCAGCCAGGTCACGATCTCGCGGTCTGTGAGTTCGAGCCCCGCGTCGGGCTCTGGGCTGATGGCTCAGAGCCTGGAGCCTGTTTCCGATTCTGTGTCTCCCTCTCTCTCTGCCCCTTCCCCGTTCATGCTCTGTCTCTCTCTGTCCCAAAAATAAATAAACGTTGAAAAAAAAAAAAAAATTTTCCCCCTAAGTTGATAATCAACATTATCAGCTAGTCCTCCCTTTTCTGTTTTTGTAACCACGTTGCCTTGATTCTCAGGTGCATGTTTCCCCTGTATTTTAAATGACATAGCCTGTAATTATGTATGTATGTATTGCAGTGTTTCTTTTGTTCTGAAAGGCTGTTGTTAATTTGGCAGTACCTCTGGCAGTTAATGGTATCTTAGAATTGAGGCAACAGGGGACTTGGATAACTGGTTGCCTCAGATGTTTCTGGGGCATTTGGGAAAGAGACCTTTTGAGACATACGGTCCCTTTTAGTCTGCCTACTGTGGAATCCTCCTCTCATTGCAGTCTACCTGGAGACCTATGGCTGTCAGATGAATGTGAATGACACAGAGATAGCCTGGTCTGTCTTACAGAAGAGTGGCTACCTGCGCACCAGGAACCTCCAAGAGGTACGTGGGTTTTCTGCTTCCCTTGTTTCCTGGGCCTGGATGAGACTCTGCATTTGTGCCAGGACTTATTTTTTTAATTTTTATTTTTTTAATGTTTATTTATTTTTGAGACAGAGAGAGACAGAGCATGAATGGGGGAGGGTCAGAGAGAGAGGGAGACACAGAATCCGAAGCAGGCTCCAGGCTCTGAGCTGTCAGCCCAGAGCCCGACGCGGGGCTCGAACTCATGGACCGTGAGATCATGACCTGAGCTGAAGTCAGACCCTTAACCAACTGAGCCACCCAGGCGCCCCTGTGCCAGGACTTAGATACAGCTTTAGAAACAGGGTATGGCCTGGTGAGAGTGGGTTTCCTTGAGTAAAGTGTGTAGCATGGGACTAAGGTGTATTTTTGTTCTGGTTATTTTTGAAACTTTTATGGTGGTGCTCATTTTTAGGCAAGGAACTAGGTTAAAAATGGGCTGTGAGGTGGAGGGGAACGGAGGAGTTAGTGTTTAATCTCTGAACCCAACAGAGGAGATTTAGTTGGGGAACATGAAATGATTCTGGAGCTTGATGGTGGTAATGATTGCACAATAGTGTGAATGTACTTAATGTTCCTGAACTGTACACTTAAAAATGGTTAAAATGGTAAATTTTATGTATGTTTTTACCACAGTAGTAGGAATAATAGGAAAGAAAAAGCTGTGGGTAGTGATTCTACAAGGCAGATTTCAGAGATTGTAATTTTCCCTTTTTTTTCCTATTTTTCCACTCAGGCTGATGTGATCCTCCTTGTCACATGTTCTATCAGGTGGGAGTTTGTTCTTTACCTAGAGAGTGAACGTGTTTTGTGTCAGAGCTAGCAGTGCCAGGCTGGCCTACCTGTGGAGATGAGTCAGTGGACTTGCAGTTTTACAACATGGGAGATAGCAGCAATGGAACTGGGCTGACATTTGCCGAGCACGTGCTGCGTATCCTGTCTCGTGCTGAGCACTATACATACACTGATTTAATTCTCACAACCACCCTATGGGGTAGGTGCTATAATCAAACCCATTTTATAGATGAGGGGTATGTTGAGGCACCCAGCTTTTCCTAAGGGTTCTCTTGCAGGTAATGGCACTTGTTTAGGATGTAGCATCATGAGGGTTAGGGTGCAGTCAGTGGCCGGGGACAGGGTTCTTCTGAACGGAGATGGGTGGCATCCATCGGAAGTAAACATATTCTGTTTCTTACTTTGTTTCTGTGTACAAGGCACATTTGTGTTAGTGTTTCCTTAGTGTTAATGGAATCCAGCATTTTTGTTGGGGGTGTTTCTGCTGTAAGACACTGAACTAGATGGCTTTGGGAGATTCAGAAATGAACCCTCCTCCATGGAGCCTTGCTTTAAGGAGCTTAGTCTGATATGGGAACTTAAGCAGAGTCACAAATAGCTCTAACATCTGGCAGAAAGCACTATATAAAAAATCAAACAATAAAAGAGAAGTTGCTAAGTATAGGGAAAAGTATAGTTATAAGGCAGTTAAAGGGCAGACAGACTCTGTACGAGGCTTTGTGAAGTAGATTCTGAGTTTGACGTAAAGGCTTGTCAGGTGTGGAGATATGCAGGAAGGGTGTCATTGTGGGAATGGTGAATTGTAGCAAGTGGTGCTTCTTCAGTTGGCTCCCTGCCTGTCTTCCCTTAACTTAAAAGGTAGATATTCATTTAAAGGGTTGAAGTTTCTTTTGATTTTATTTCCGTTGCCCTACTCTTTTAGCTTGTGGTATAGTTGATTTTCAGGTTCAGTTATACCTCTTTTGATCTTTGTAGGGAGAAGGCTGAACAGACCATCTGGAATCGTTTACATCAGCTTAAAGCCCTGAAGACAAAACGGCTCCGCTCCCAAGTGCCTCTGAGGATTGGGATTCTAGGTATCCGGTAATTTGGAGATTTTGTGTTTTGATAGTTGGGCTCCATGAAAATGAAAAAAAAAAATTTTTTTTTTTTTTTTTATGTTTATTGATTTTTGGGGAGAGAAAGAGAGACAGTGTGCAAGCAGGGGAGGGACAGAGAGAGATGGAGACACAGAATCTGAAGCAGGCTCCAGGGTCTGGGCTGTCAGCACAAAAGCCCGATGCAAGGCTTGAACTGACAAGCTGTGAGATCATGACCTGAGCTGAAGTCAGATGCATAACCAACTGAGCCACCCAGGTGCCCTGAAAATTTTTTTTTTTAAGTTTATTTGTTTATTTTGAGAGAGATAGTGCATACATGTGCAAATTGGGGAGGGGCAGAGAGGGGGGGGGGAAAGAGAGAATCCCAAGCAGGCTCTGTGCTGTCAATGCAGAGCCTGATGTTGGGCTTGATCCCATGAACCTTGAGATCATGACCTGAGCTGAGATCAAGAGTCGGATGCTCAAGTGACGAGCACCCAGGTGCCCCTTCATGTAGCTTTGTATGCTAGGGTTTCCGTTAGATGCTGGATTCCCAGCGTTTGAAGAAATGTCATGCGTCCCATGTAACTTTTATATTTGATGTCAAAGGCTGTAGCATGAAATAAGCTAAAGCTCATAAAAAGGGCTTTTCATAGTGCCTTGAAGTCATGGGTACTCAGAATATGGTCTGTCCTTGTTAGAGTTTAATGGGGCTGATGGTGGCAGAGTTATGGATAGGAGAGAGTTTGGCGTCTGAAGGAACAGCATGAATTTAGAGTGTAGGCACCTTTCGTCTTGACTCCTGAAGTAGAGCCAAGTGAGGATCTAGATCTGCACTGACCAGTATGGTAGCCACTAGCCACATGTGGTTATTTAAATTTAGCTAAAATTAAATAATATTAAAATTTACTTTTTCACTCTCACTAGCCACATATTGACTTCTCAGTAGTCACACTTGACTAGTGGCTACCATTTTGGACAGCACAGATAAAGAATATTTCTATCATTTGAGGAAGTTCTGTTGGACACCTCTGATCTAGATACCTGGAAAGCATATCTCAAAAATGAATATTCTGTACCCTCTTGGTCCCAGAATTTAGTTAATGTATTTAACTTTAAAATTGGCTGTCCATTGTGGAATGATTAAATTAATTCCTATTGATGGGTCAAAACATAGTTGGAGCATATCCTGTTATACAGATTAATGTACTAAGTGACAGGAGGATGGAAGGATTAGCTGAAATGTTTTGTTTCTTTTTTTATTTTTTATTTTTTAATGTTTATGTATTTTTGAGAGACAGAGAGAGACTGAGAGTGAGCTGGGGAGGGACAGAGAAAGAAGGTGGCACAGAATCCCAGATAGGCTCCAGGCTCTGAGCTGTCAGCATAGAACCCGATGCGGGGCTCAAACCTACGAACTGAGAGATCATGACCTGAGCTGAAGTTGGACGCTGATCTAATTAAGCCCATCCAGGTGCCCCTGAAATGTTTTGTTTCATTTCAGTGCCTTCATTATAGAAGCCCCTGGCTGTATCTTTGTTAGGAATTTCAGAAATCCCCCCAATACTTTGTTTTTTATTGTGGTAAAATATAGGTAACATGAAATTTATCATTTGAGCCCTTTTTTAAAATGTACAGTTCAGTGGCTTCAAGTTTATTCATATTGTTGTGCAACCATCACCACCATCCATTTCCAGAACTTTTTCGTCTTCCCCAACTGCAACTCTCTACCCATTAAATAACTTCCCATTTCCCTTCTCACCTTAGCTCCTGGCAATTTACCATTGTACTTTCTGCCTCTATGAATTTGATTATTCTCGGTAACTCATACAAGTGGAATCATGGAATATCTGTCCTTTTGTGAGTGGCTTATTTCATTTAGCACAATGTCTTCAAGATTCATCCATATCATAGCATATATCAGAATTTGCTTCCTTTTTTAAGGCTGAATAATATTCCATTTTATGTATACACCATATCTGTTGATGGACACTAGGGTTGCTTCTACCTTTGGGCTATTGTGAATGATACTGCTATGAACATAGGTGTATAACCAAGAATAGGTTTTTTTTTTTTTTTTTAATGTTTATTTATTTATTTTTTTTAAAATTTTTTTTTAATGTTTTATTATTTATTTTTGAGACAGAGAGAGACAGAGCATGAACGGGGGAGGGTCAGAGAGAGAGGGAGACACAGAATCTGAAGCAGGCTCCAGGCTCCGAGCTGTCAGCACAGAGCCCGACGTGGGGCTCGAACTCACATACCGTGAGATCATGACCTGAGCCGAAGTCGGACGCTCAACCGACTGAGCCACCCAGGCGCCCCTAATGTTTATTTTTGAGAGAGGGAGGGGCAGATTGAGGGAGGACAGAAGATCTAAAGCGGGCTCTGTGCTGACAGCAGTGAGCCCGATGAGAGGCTCAAACTCATGAAACCATGAGATCATGACTTCAACCGAACAAATCAAGAGTCAGACCCTTAACTGACTGAGCCACCCAGGTGCCCCTGGATGATGGTTTAATTTTTTTCTGAGCATTTAATTGATTTCTTTAGTTGCTTGCTTCCTTTGGTTTTCTCATATAGGAAGATGCAGGTTCCAGTGCTATGGAAGTATTGGGCAAATTTGGGGAATGATGATGCTAAACTCTTAGAGAAGTTTCTGTGCCCTGGTCTCTGAATGTAGCTGGAGGTAATGTGTACTGAGAAGAAACCACGAGACCAGATGCATTTGTGAATGGGTACTTATTTTGTTTTCCTTCCTCAGGCTGCATGGCTGAGAGATTGAAGGAGGAGATCCTCAACAGGGAGAAAATGGTGGATATTTTGGCTGGTCCAGATGCCTATCGGGACCTTCCTCGGCTGCTGGCTGTCGCTGAGTCAGGTCAACAAGCTGCCAATGTGCTGCTCTCTCTGGATGAGACCTATGCTGATGTCATGCCAGTCCAGACAAGCCCCAGTGCTACATCTGCCTTCGTGTAAGACACTGCCCAAGAGACAGGGAGTGAACTTCTCCTTTCTCTTAAAATAATGTTAATTTTGCTACATTAAAGCAAATTAATACATGCATATAGGACAAAACATAAAAAACAAAAAACTGATAAAGTCAGACTCCTTCACATCTCTTCTCCCCGGTCTTGTAGGCCACCTCAGAGGCAGCCATGTTAGTAGTTTCTTGTATAATCCTTTTAGGAGTGTTCTTTCCATATCCATTCATACATGTAATATGGGATCTTTCCTACCATTCTTTCTGTATTCTAATTTTTTACTTAAGAAAATATCTTCAGCTTTCCTATTCCTTTTTTTCTTCCCCTGAACTTTAACTGAAAAAAAGTAGTAAAATCTGGTGACAAAATAGTTCATATTTGTTGAAGAATACGTGGAAAAGATAAAAAAAAAAAAACATAAGGAGGAAAGAGTCACCTATATTCCAACCACCTAATGATGAACACTGTTATCATTTTGCTATATTACTCCTGTCCTTTCCTGTGTGTGTATGCTTTGTACCTGTGTTTAGTTGTAAAAATGGGCTCTTGATGTACTTGGTTTTATAACCTTACTTTAAATGGTGAAATATTTAAATTTTATGTAATTAAATTTTCTATAACAGAGATTGGCAAATTGGCAAAAAAAAATTACAGCCTGTTTTTTGTAAATGAAGTTACTGAAATATAGCCTTACCATTTGTTTATATATCATCTGTGGCTGGTTTTGCCATTACAGTAGCAGAATTGAGTAATCGTGACACAGCCCGTGTGGTCTGTGAAGCCTGAAATATTTACTGTCTGTTTCTTATAGAAAGTTTGTCAACCTCTGTCATTTTAATGGCTATCCCACACTTCTTGGAAAGCTTAATAAAAACAATAGCTAACATTTATTTAACAGTTTTTCAGTGAACATCTTTGATATTCATAATTATTTCCTTAAGGTAAATTAATGTTTTCATATACAGGATGCAAATGGAAGAGAGTGATTTAACTTAGAAACCTAATAATTGGATGAGGAATGAGTGAGAACTATGAATTCCTGTTTTAAATCTGAAGTTTCTCAGGGGCGCCTGGGTGGCTCAGTCGGTTGAGTGTCTAACTTTGGCTTAGGTCATGATCTTGCTGTCCATGAGTTCAAGCCCCGTGTCAGGCTCTGTGCTGACAGCTCAGAACCTAGAACCTGGAACCTGCTTTGGATTCTGTGTCTCCCTCTCTCTCTGCCCCTCCCCTACTTGTGCTCTTTCTCTCTCTCTCTCTCTCTCTTTCTCTCTCTCTCTTTCTCTCTCTGTCTGCAAAAATAAACTTAAAAAAAAAAAAAGAAAAATCTGAAGTTTTTCCTCCCCATACACACTTCATAATATATATATATTTCTGGTGTAGATGTAAAAAGTTCAAACGTTTTCTATTTATGGGGTATACTCCTGGTACATCTGCACCCTTTCCCTCACCACTGTGCTCCCTCAGGGTAACTGCTCTGTCTACCAGTTGTGATGTGGTTTATATCATGTGCTTAGATACTAGTTTTTAAAGATAAAAAATGTCTGCCTTAAAAATGTCTCAGATTGGTCCAGTGTGAATATGGTGCCAAGAGGATTCAGAGCCAGAGGATAACGTCTAGGGAGCTCTGACCTGCTCCTTGGGTGGGAGCAGGTGTCCCATTCCTCTTACTAAGTTTTGGTGCTTTTCCCCCAGGTCTATCATGCGAGGCTGTGACAATATGTGTAGCTACTGCATCGTCCCTTTCACTCGTGGCCGGGAGAGGAGTCGGCCTGTTGCTTCCATTCTAGAGGAAGTGAGGAAGCTTTCTGAGCAGGTGAAAAGTTCTGTTGGCTTTCATCTTATAAGTGTATTTTTAGGAGAATGAGGACAACCTTTCTAGTTTTGCTTCCTGTGCTGTCTCCGAGCTGTAGAAGTTTAGAACCATACCTGGCCAGGAAGAAATACTTGGCTGAACATCTTTGATTTGCTGCCCATGTGAAGTTTGCTTCAGAGGCAGCACAGTGGAATGGAGAGAGCATGAGTTTACAGTCAGATGACTGAGTGTGAATTCTGGCTGCACCATTCTCTGGTTTAGTGCCCTGGCACAGGTCATGTAACTATCTTCTTTTAGTTATTTATGAAAAAAAATTTCTTCTTAAGTTTTGTTCATTTATTTTGAGAGAGAGAGAAACAGAGTGTGAGTAGGGGAGAGGCAGAGAAAGGGAGAGAGAGAGAATCCCAAGCAGGCTCCACACTGTCAGTGCAGAGCCTGATGCCAGGCTCAGACTCACAAACTATGAGATCATGACCTGAGACGAAATCAGGAGTCAGATGCTTAACCCACTGAGCCACCCAGGCGCCCCCTAACTGTCTTCTTTTAAACACAGTTTCTTAATCTATGAAAAGAAGATAAAATAGTAACTTCCATTCTGGGTTATTGGAAGGATTGTCCTAATTTAAATGGTTTTTTGTTTTGTTTTTAATTTTTTTTTTTTTAACATTTATTTATTTTTGAGACAGAGAGAGACAGAGCATGAACAGGGGAGGGGCAGAGAGAGAGAGGGAGACACAGAATCCGAAGCAGGCTCCAGGCTCTAAGCTGTCAGCACAGAGGCCGATGCAGGGCTCGAACCCATGGACCGTGAGATCATGACCTGAGCCAAAGTTGGATGCTTAACTGACCAAGCCACCCAGGCGCCCCAGTTTTGTTTTGTTTTTAAAGTAATCTCCATACCCAGCATGGGGCTCAAACTCCCAACCCCAAGATCAAGAGTCACATTTTTGGGGTGCCTAGGTGGTTCAGTCAAACATCAGACTCTTGATTTTGGCTCAGGTGATGATCCCAGGGTTGTGGGATTGAGTCCCTCACATGGGGCTCCATGCTGGGCATGGAGACTGCTTAAGGTTCTCTCTCTCTCTCTCTCTCTCTCTCTCTCTCTCTCTCTCTCTCTCTCTCTCTCTCTCTCTCTCTCTCTCTCTCTCTGTCTCTCTGTCTCTCTGTCTCTCTGTCACTCTCACTCAAATTAGAAAAGTCACATGCTCTACTGAGCCCCCCCATAGTTAAAAACTTTTTTAATGTTCATTTACTTATGTTGAGAGGGAGAGAGAGAGAACAAGAGCGCACACGCACCCAAGAGGGCGTGGGGGAGGGGCTGAGAGAGAAAGGGAGAGAGAGAATCCCAAGCAGGCTCTGGGCTGTTGGCGCAGAGCCCCACATGGGGCTCAGTCTCATGAATTGTGAGATCATGACCTGAGTTAAAATCAAGAGTTAAACGCTTAACTGACTGAGCCACCCAGACACCCCAGTTTAAATGCTTTTAAACTACCTGGCACCCAGTAAATTTTCAGAGAATGCTTTATCTGTCCATTCTAGGAAACATCCCAAATCTCTTGTTCATTTTATCACAGAGCCAGCTCACTAGTTGAGGGACAGAGAACAGATGAGGGTAGTGAATCCCATCAGAGGCCAGAGGGGAGATAATTGCTATTTTCCTGCTATTGGGAGCTTGTCTCCCCCCCAACTCTAGGCCTGGATCTGCTAGCCCTGAAAAAGAGGACAGTAGGTGGGAATATGGAGCTTTTCTTTCATTAGAGTTTCCCTGTTTCCTTACTTGCTTCGCTCGGGAACTGTGGGAGGCTAGCCTCTGCTCCAGTTTTTAGTCAGCAGTTTCTTCTTACAGTCTGGTAGTGCGCTCTTCTCATCTCCATCCCTTAGTTCTCAGTTCCCTGTTTGGTCCCTGGCTGCTCTCCATACCCCACCTCTGCAAGTGCTTCCTGGTCTCCAGTTGTCTCCTTCTCCCCTTCCACCTCTCCCACCGTAGCAGAACTCTTCAGGATAGAGACATTCTGT